GTCCCGTCCCGTCCCATCCCATCCTTCCACCGTGCCCGAGTTCAGAGCTACTACCCCCAAATCCAGCCCCTGCCCGAGCGTGGATGAAACCAGAGGAACCTCCAGCTGGCTTCCTCCCGCTCTCCAGCCCCGCTCAGAGAGCCCCACGTGCACCAGCCAAACGCGAGACCGGCTTCCCGGGGCTCCTGCCAAGTTCAAATTCCTCATTCCACAGCCCTGCTCCCGTGCCTGTGCTCGCCTGCATCCCCGCTGCCACAAACTTCCCTGCGCCAACCGCTTGCGTTTCAGGGACGCTCGGTGCCGTTACATTTATTCAGGGCAGAGATGAATTTATTCCCAAGGAAAATGATTTATGGCAGAACGTGTTGTCGGTAGAAATGAACCCATCGATGGGGTGAGCAGACACTTGGTGGGGTTGTGGTTTATAAGCATACACTGAAAATTTGTCTGGACTGTTGCGTTGGACAAACGCCTTTCCCAGTGCCTTTCCTCCTCTTCCACACAGAGCAGGGAACCTTCAGCATCATCCCGTCGCTGGCACTCCGAGTTCCAGTCTGTACTTGACGTTAACTGGGAGCAGGTAGGATCTCTTCCTTCGTGAAGATGACGTACAGCAGACACCGGCGTAAGTAAGCAACACCAGAACTTCAAAGGCATTGGTTTCTTAATACGGGGCAGATACATAGTGCCCAAATTCACCATGTTGTAAGCCTTTAATCTTTAATAATTGACTCAGGCTCTTATTTCTAAATACTTGGTGAAGCAAGGCTAAAAGGAAATTAAAGGGGGGGGGTGTTAACAAAAAAGGGTTATTTCATATACCAAGTGGCACAGCGACTGAAGCCAAACCCAGCAAGTTCCAAGCACAGTCCACTCACCTCTCATTAAAAAAAAGGGAGGTTAGGACACTTGGTACTGTTCAAAACCAAGCACTGAATGTCCAGACATGACTCAGTGCCGATTACAAAAGAGCCTCATGTTAACTTTCTACACAGTGACCTGGCCTACAGCGATTTCACTGTGTGATAATGCTTAGCTCACTGAAATAGTAATAATAATAATAAAGCCCTTTTAGATTAATTTTGCTATAGTAGTGCAACAAGAAGCCAATCAAAACACGAGTTTCAATTACAGAACTAAAAAGGCTAATATTTTATTAACATAAGGTTCAAATTAAAAAAAGAAATGCCCGAACTCCTTAATAATCTCCACTGTAAAAATGCAAAAGACCTGTGCTTTAAACATCACCGTAACATACTGCAGAACTGCATCCTCTTTCCCCTCTCTCCCTTCTTCCAAGGACCATTGAGAAATACCTCATTGACATATTTAATCTGAAACTTCAAACAACTGTTCTAAAGCAGACACTCACCACAGTCATTTTCAGCCTGAACAGTTTGTGTATCACAAAAAAAAACCCCAAACAACTTTAAATGAGAAATATTCAGAAATTAACTAGACATTACTATCTACACTGCAGATTTCACTTTTTACAGAGCAGTAGTTGAATGAAAGTATCTGATACATCAAACATTCCCAAATGCATGCCTTCCAATTTTTTCTTACCCCATCTCCATTTTTTTTTTCTTAAAAAATAACTCTCAGCAGTCCACATGCTGCTTAGAATATACCTAAGCACAGATTTTACTAGAGCTAAAAATTTTAACTCCACCACTGCAAAGCACCTTATGCCACGAGTTCTCACCGTTTGATAGAGTAGCTTTTGAGGGACCTATTTAAACTGGAATATATACAAGTTCTAAATATTTTACTTCCTACAGGGATGTCTGTCTTGGAAAAACACATACTTTTGTCAAAACACCAGCTTGCAAGAGCAAAGTCGGGAATGTGCATGAACTCCTGCGACTGATGGGTTTCCTTCTACTACGGCTTGAAATTTTGTTTGCATCGAGATGTAAAGCGTAACTAAGCTCATTTTGTCTCTAGAAGTGTTTGAAAAGTGAAATCTAAGGAGACGTGTGCACGGGGCAGGACTGCTCTAACAGTAAGCACCTTGCTTTCACATCTGGAGGGATGAAGAGCAGATTCTTCTGTTATCACATGGTGCAGCATCGTTACCCAGCCCAAGTCAGCCGTGTCGGAAGGACAAGCTCCCCACAACTTAGAGCAGACCCAGGAGGTAGCCTTGGCTTGGCAGTACTCAAATGCTTAGACCTGATTTACAGAACGAAGGTGCAGACTTTTTCTTCAGCAGAGTTTTGCCAGAACTGGAGTACAATTTGGTTTCCACACCTAGCAAAAACGCTGTGATTTATTAGGTGACTGCAGAGGACATCTTGGCAGAGAAAGCAGGCACACTGAAGTATGCATCTGCTATTTCCAAAAAAAGCCAAACAATTTCACCGGTCTGGTTTAGAGAACAGGCCTGGAGTGCACAGAAGGCAGCATTGAATTCAGACAGTGGATGGGGAAAAGGGCAGAAATGTCAGGGGACACAAGGCATCTGCAACCAGCTTTGCTCCTTTGGGCCAAAGAAACTGTACCAGGGAAGAAATTTCAGAAAACTAACAGTACAATCGACTGTGCTGCACAGATCCTCTCTTGCACAGCTCAGGAGAAGGATGCACCGCTAAGATATAAATATGACATCCTTGCAATCCACTGGGTTCACAAACTGTGAGCAAAGACTCAACAAATTCAAGAGGAAAAACTAGGACATTTTTGCTGTAAGCTTCAGCTAGTCACAGTGGATTAGAGGAAATCCTTCAGCCAGCAGGAGAAGCAACGGCAGTGGAAAATCCCGCCTCGCACTGGGCAGCCGCTGCCATCCAGCGGGTACCGCTCACGGTCACATGGACGCACGCACCGAAATGAAAGACAAGCATCTCATTTTCAAGTTGATTTTTGTAAATGGAAAAAAAAAAGGTATAAAATCTATCCATACATTAACAGATACAGGAAGTTACACAATCCAGTTCACACCTAAAGTAAGAGCAATCAGTCCGTAAGAAGAACAGGGAAAAAATTCCAATGCTGTAATTTGTCCGAAGTCACTACAGGGCAGAGGAGGGCGGTTGGCCTCTTTTTTTTTGGTGTGTGGATAAAACTGGCTACCTTCCCTACTTCCAAAGCAATGAGACAATTTCAACAGACACGTATTAGGAATACTTTTGAAATGCATCTGACTCTAGCATTAACACTGAATATTCAAAGATTCATAGGATTACAGCATAACGTTTGGATACTTTTGCCTCCAGGAAAGGGCGGCAGTGGGCAGTATTATCCAAGAGAAATCCTTCACCCATTTCAGAATTTACAGCATCGATTCAGTTGAAGATTTTTCTTTTATCATTTTTATCCATCCTGGAACATTTAAAATCTGTGTATCCTCAGCTCAGACATTTACAAAGCATGCAGCGACAGTTACTACTCAAGGAACATTTAGGAGGCTATGGAAAATGCGCTGGTGGGCATTGGTCTAATTTTAGAGAACTCATGTCTACCATTACACTCAAGCCACACCTGGCAGTAGTTTTCCCCTCACGCCTCCATTTACTGGAGGCTCCAGAAGGCAAGGCTTGAATGAATGGGCATGGAAGCTCAGGTACCATTGTAAGGAATAAAAGAAAACAACTACTAGCAGGGGCCAGCTTGTGGGAATGCCTGCCCTGCTACTGGTGTACCTGTGGGTGAACAGCGCCAGTCTAGGGCTCAGAAAAGATGCACGGCTGAATTCAAAAGGAAAATGGGGGCACCCTGAACCCTGAAAAGACAAGACTTGCTGTGTTTGACAGGTGTATTCGATATACACACAAAGCAAGACAGTAAGCTGTGCTCATCATCCACCCAGAAGACTGCACCATTTTTCTGAACGCACAGAATACACAACCCCTTTCCAAAATAACAACAAAAACAACAATAATAAAGCAGAAGTGCAGAATTCAGACTGTTCGGTGGTTTGTGTTTAAAAAAAACGTAAGAAAGAATAAAAGCTAATGCTGTAAAGACAACTATTCCCTTTCAAAGCAAAGGCCACATAAAACTGTGTTGCTCAGTTTGGTTTTTACTTCATGCCACCTGTAAACACAAGACTGGATAGTCAGTTTCTGGGAAGAAATGCAATAAAGCAGAAGTGCAGAATCCAGACTGTTCGGTGGTTTGTGTTTAAAAAAAACGTAAGAAAGAATAAAAGCTAATGCTGTAAAGACAACTATTCCCTTTCAAAGCAAAGGCCACATAAAACTGTGTTGCTCAGTTTGGTTTTTACTTCATGCCACCTGTAAACACAAGACTGGATAGTCAGTTTCTGGGAAGAAATGAAACCACTTTTACATCCAGAGTAAAAGAAAGGCCCTCCACTGCCTGGATCACAGATTATCCAGGGAAAAGTAGCTGGGGGAAGGCTTCCTCTTCTTGTTTGCTCATTTCATTAGAAAGATCGTATCAGAACAAAAGAGCTTTCAATAAAAGCACAAAATATTTCTTTATGTTATTTCTGCCCTCTGTCTCTAAAGTTTGCTACCAGGACTAACACTTTCCATTCCTCACCAACAGATACATCACACCTTTTTGGCACCACGGGTGGAATTTCTTCCCAACGTATAATTTTGCCTTATACAGAAGTCGATTGTCTAATCATGCAAATCCAACAGAATTCCAAAAAGTGCCACAAGACAGCTCAACTTTTTGCAATCTACTACTACTTTGTACACTGCCATAGGAACCTCCCAAAGAACAAACTGTCATCCTTACTTAGATGGGACAGCGTTTCATATATGGTATTTCAACCTCTCTTTCTGGGGGGAAGAGAACTAAAATCCACGCTCCGATTCCATTGATTTTTCACTCGCAGCGCTCTGAAACGCAGGGAGATTTCTTTGATTCGTTGAAGACGTCTTCACTGAGCAGCCCGATCAGAGAAAAACTTACTGATTCAATCAAATAGAAAATAAAGACAAAAACAGGTAGTGGTAGATTTCTCAATCTTTGCTTCCGTCCTTGGAGACTAGGGTAGAGTTTCACCGCTACTGCATTTTCCCCAGCTGGATCTTCTTCCAGGCCTCTGATGCTGTGAAAATGCAGGAGTCAAGGATTCCAGCTACAGTAAATGTTCCTCCAATGATGGCACATATCTGAAATGTATAGAGAGGAAACCGGTTTGTCAGTGACAAGGGAAACTTTTACACAGCTTGAATCTGGGAGGAAGGATATTACTGCCTACTGCTGGAGTATTTTCTGGAAGCACAGTAAGAACTGGGCAACAGTACTGGCGACGTAATTACATGCCAGTCATTCAGGAAAACCATTCCCTACGGCGGAATAACTTAGTGTTTTCCTGAACTCATCACAGCCTTAGCCAATTGTAAATCCCAGCTCCTAGGAGCCTAGAGCATGACTGCTGTTCCTTTCTGGGCTAAACACCTAACAAAACTTTCTAGAAGCTCTCTGTTGCTCATATCTTCCTACTGCTGTTTTCTATTATAAATACCACAGCCTTGTAGTCTTTTCCCTATTTCACAAGATAAAGTGTTTGCAAACAGGCAAAAGACACTGAGATAGCATGTGAAGGACAGTGACTAACAGAAACCTAGCTACCAGTGACACCTACAGCTAAGTCTGTCTAACACTTTCCATTACAAGGGCTGCTTACAAAAGCACTGCCAACCTTAACTCTTTGTGGGCCAAAGTTTTCCATGCAAGATGTCTGGGCTTGAATTATTTAAACACCAGTAAAAACACATAACGGTTTTCAAGAACAGAGTTAGGGGAAAGAATCAACCTCTTGATCAGCCTAACAGCCTACTCCAGTTCTCAAGTGCTAGAAAAACGCATGAGTATTGTGACGTGTCAAACCAAAGGGACCTCGGCTTGGAGCACCAGTTATGGACTTTGCAACACACTGCTTCAATTCCCTTATCTGTGAAACGGGGACAGTGCCAAACCTGCCTCCTGGGAAAACTGTGATGGCAAACACATCTGAAGGATTCAAACCCATGAGAATAGCCATCTCCGAGTCCTTGTGGAAACATGACTTGTACTCAGGACCGGGCTAATACAAACCACCTGACAGGGTAGAAGTTAAATACCGTAGGATGGGAAGAAACGCTGCTCACAGGGTGCCATCCCAGCCCGCGCACTGCACAAGGCAGGGTTCACATGGAAAGTATGATACACCATAATGTAACCTAATGGCGTTTAACAGCCAAGTTGTAATTACACGGGGCCTGGCATTTCCTAACTCCCACATTTTTGACTTCATAACTGTGATGCTTTTTTAATTTGGTCTTTGACATTGCGTAGGATTAGGTGTCTCTGAGAATAAGAGATACCACGTCAGTGAGAAGGGAACAGGATACAGAGCTTATCTCCTGAGAAGGGCCTGCCTGGGAAAAAGGGGATTTTGCTGTGAGCTAGGAGGCAAAAGACAGACAGGCCCCCAAATCAGTAAGCTAATGTAGCAGGGTATCAGGTGGATGCAACACAACAGACAGAAGGGAACCAGTGCCACACTAGACACCATGCCGTGTCTCTTCTCCCACACAGCACTACACCCCGTGGGCAACCTTACAGACAGAAGAGTAGCAGAGCAGCAGCGTTCAGCTCGGCAGGGAGGTAGCAGCGGCAATAGAACAAACAGCTCATTAATGGTGAGCGAAGGCAGCAAGAAATAAAGCGCTCATTTACACGTGTATTTATAGCTGGGATATACGCGTTGGGTGAGCTCGGCGACATGAGGAGCGGCAGTAAAGATGGCTTTTGCAGGACAGTTGGCATTCCAACAGATAAAGGCTTCAAAAAAACAGAGCACCAGCCCGAGGCAAAGTCAGTATTTTTAGGGGACAAGTCCAGCCCCTGCCCGCTGTGCCTCCGTCCTCGCTATCCCTCGGAGCATGACGCAGGGTGACTTTTCAGGGAGAATGACCGCAATGGCGCTGGGTTATTTCAGTCCACAGCTCAGCTGACAGGGGATGTTACACCGCAAACAACAGAAAAACTGTCCAACACTAAGATTTCGCATCATATGGTAGGAAAATCTGATTTCAGTGCAGCAGTGCAAGGGGGTGGGGAATAGAAAAAAAAATATATATTCATCTGCACAGCTCTGTGCTGCTGAGTGTTTATGAGTCACACACACCTGGCATTCGCTGGGAGCCTGCCTCCCAGCACGCACACAGCCCTCTTGTTGCGTCGCGACAAAAAAAGCCCCAGGCAGCACCAGGGTTGGTCTCTAGGTCAGAACAGAAGCTGCACACCACTGTGGTTCTTTCTCGTCACAGTACCAATACGTACAGAGTGTTGCTCCTTAGCAGCGCCCGAGGGAGTTAGGCATCATGCACTTACTTATATTTAATGGAGTTAAAAGTCACTGGGAATGATCTGTGTTCGGCTCCGTGGGGTTACAGTTTGACTCAGGCCCAACCGTTAAAGGAGGAAGGAAAAGAAATGTGGACGTGTAATAATGACAGCAGCGAGAGAGCACGCAATGTGGGGTACATGCGAGGGTTTTGAACAGAATATGATTATCGGACAGTGGCTGGGAGGCAGGCTACAGTCTAAAGGAAAACACGAGTGGGTATGTAGGAGGAGGCAAGGCTGCAAGCACAATGACAGAAAGGCGAGTGTCTGTGCACCTCCAGGATGTCTTAAAATCTGCAGATTACTTTTAAGGACAGAGGGGACCAGTAGGACCCCCAGGTAATTCCCAGTAAGGTAAGTTGCAGAATCCCACCCAGAGATTTCTGGCTGACCTGCAGCACATCTTGCAGAACAACACTGTCTTGGTTTTAAAAATGCCACAGGACTGAGTCTACGACACATGTTGGTAACAGGTCCCATGGCTGAAATAATTCTACCTGCAACCATTTTTCACTCCCATTATTTCCAGTTTAATTTTTTTCATACCTAGAGGGCAGACAAGTCATCTTATATCAGGAAATAAATTCTTTTCTTTGGATTTTGAATGCTTTACCAGAACTTTGGCTTGTTTTCTGCCTGCTCTCCCCTCCCAGCCGCTAGACTGACCTCATGATAAAACCTTCTTTCACTCTGGACACTCACAGGAACTCATAAATTTTCAGCAGTGAAACTTTCCCCCTTGCTCCATAACCTCAACCACAAGGCCATGAATGGCTTCTTTTCATGGGGCGATACCTTGATGTTAAGCAGTATGGTTTAACAGGCAAAAACACTGTGCCAGGTGTCTGTGGTTCACCCCCGGATCCATGGCACATTCACAGCACAGCGACAGTGGCAGCACTGACCCAAAAGCAATACGAAATCTTATTTAGTACTGAAGTTTTTGAAGCATGACATGTAAAGTAAAATCTGTGCTAAGCCCGTGCCTTTTGTTCTGCACAGGAAGTACCTCTCACACGGTACAGAAAATTAAGGTAATTCTTCATACTGTAAAACCCCAAGGAGCAGGCATGAGTGGGTCCATTGGGAACACAGAAGACCTGGGAAGACTACTATGGTGCTACAGTGTTGCTCTTAGCAGCACTGAAGTTTTTGGGTGGCAAACTCCTTACTAACAGAGAGCATCAGATAACCTTTCCAGCAGCAGAATGAGATTCCTTTGGCTCCCTGCTGACCAGCCAACAACCTTCCCTCATCTGATCTCTCCAAATGGGATCGTCCCTCCAGTGTATCCTCCCCTCCAACACTGAGACCAGCTTCCCCCCTACAGTCTCTTTCAAGACCCCAGGATCCTCCTCCATCCCTGGGACACATTTAAATTTACTGAAAGCCACAGTGGTGCCCTAGTAAACAACCTGCTTGCTAAAAGGAGTCACAGGTGATCCCCCCCTTACCCCAAAGCCCCTCTTGTGGTTTTTAAATTAAGCAGCTGCTGCTCAGAAAAAGCTGATGCTTTCCATGGCCAGCCCCATTTGGCAATGACTCCAGATGCCCCAGCACAATCTGCCTGGACCTCAGCCCAGTGCTGATCATCACTAACTGGTCTCCAGAGCAACTGTGATGCAAAAGGCCATGCTGGAGATACAGGAAGGGCCTAAGCAGTGGAAAGGACAGCAGAACAGATCACGTAATCAAAACAGGGCAAGGAAACCTAGGACAAAAGGTGTTTTGATCCTCTGCAGCACTGCCCTCTCCCTCCAACCTTTCCAATGCCACCCTGGACGCTATAAAGCTTTACGTGTAACGCATACAGCCAAGGCTGCCTTACTGTAAAACATTCCTAGCCTAAATGAGAGCAAGAGCAGGTCATCTGTACCAGGGCCAGATGCTCCAGACTGATAACCATGATAAGGCATCTGTAACAATGATCTGCCTCCAAGTCAGCCCTGTCTGAAAAGTTTCTGGCACACCTGGCCGACGTACTGCGTAACAGCTACCGTGGGTATCAGTGTCATCCACGCGTCTCCATAGGAAGGGAACCTGGAATGACCCCAAGTGAGCTGCCTGACACTACAGCCATTCATAAGACCAAATAAAGTAGGCAAAAATCAATTGTAAAAAACTTTTTTTTCAGCAGTCTAGCAGCCAACACAAACCGGCTAACTTTACAGACAGGAAGGGGCAAAATTCTAGCTGGGGCCATCTCAAATCCAAAAGGTCATTGTGGCAACCAGTGAGGAAAGCCTCTCCTTTGGACTCCTTATGTAAACTCTCAAGCACAGTACCAAATTCAACAAAGATGCTATCTATATGCATACAATGGCATATTAGCAGTAAGTCAATACTAGCATGACAAAGAATGTCAGCTATCAATAATTTCCAAACACTGTTTTTCATTAAACACCTCCATGCCCTAACCCCCAAGAAAGCTATGAGGGCACATTGTTAGGGA